ATCAGCCTTCCCAGGCTGTCTTGTCGACTAAAAAACTCCCCCTCCCTCATATATAATAGACATGAGATGAAGGGTGGTATGTGTAGTCTAACTCAAAGCATAGCCTAGGGTGACAACGCTCCTCCTCCATTTATACAGTAAAGTGAATGTTGTCACCATAGCACCGGAAGTGTGTTACTGGCAGGATCACCAGGGGAAAATAAAGAAGAGACAAGCCTGAAAAAGGAAAACTAATGCAGCCGCCACATCTAAGGGACTGGTAAGCTGTAATATGTTACATATATGTTCTTGGGTTTACATTTTAAAGTGACATTAAAGTCAATTTTTTCCCCTCCCCCCAATGTTAATATCAGCACTTACCTTTAATGATGTTTCTTAATCCGATCTTCCTCTTCTTTCCTGTCCTTTTCATCTGTCCCTCCAGTGCTGACTCCTCTGTGCTTGCTGGCACTTCCTGTCCCACGGTGTCTGCTTGCGGGTGCACCCCGTCCATAGACTTACCTTGTGTCTCTCCTTGCATCCCGGCCGAAGATGTGAACTGCGCATGTGCCCGCCCCACGGTGCTTTGCGGCCGCCCGAGGATCTTCACATTTTCAGACGGGAGCGCGCTGGGAAGACACACTTTTTACACTTTTTGCATAGATCTACTGCTTGCTAGCCTTATATATATATACACTGAGTGGCCAGATTATTATGACTGCCCCATCAGTACTTCGTTGGGCCGCCTCGTGTCTCCACGAGATGGTGAAAGGTGATGCGAGGAATCTGACACGGCACTGTTATCCTTCTGTTGTCTTGTACCAGTCTTGCCCCTCCCCCGTTCTGCCCTAACATTGACTAGTCGCTGACGGCCACAATTCGCACGTTCAGACCCAGATTTTCGGCTGACAGTCCGGTCTTTAAACACTTTAACAACAGCTGCTCTTGAACATTGAACGAATTCTGCTGTTTTGCTGATACTCGCTCCATGGCTCCGAGCGCCAACAATATATATATATGCAAAAACACCAGAGGCTTTATTTATCCTTTAAGGCAAGGCTGGACAAATCTCAGGAGCCAGGTAGCCAATGCCGCTTAAAAAAGGCAGCTGGCACCCAACATTTGAGGTTTCCTCTAGTTGTTGTCAATGGAGCTGGCTCCTAAAAATAGTCCTGCCGGCTTCTGGATTGGACACACCGGCTCCTGGATTCCATATTCAAAAAAACCCCAGTGATAGGGTTGCCACCTTTTCTTCAAGTGAAACCCGAACACTCTAGCACCGCGCGCGGCTATTTTTTGGGGGGGAGAATATAGAGGAGAGAGCGAGGAAAGGCAGCCAGGGAAGGGAGTAAGGAGACCGGCTATAGAGGTCTACAAATCCCAGCAATACCTTATACAGCAATACAAAATAATATGAAGCTACATACTATGTGTTGTTCCGGTGTGGCGCCCTGATGTCTCCAGGGTCTCAGGTGGCCTGTATGGAGTCTCACCAGGGCTGTGCAGGCTTTCAGGTGGACTATGCGGACTCCCAGGTGGGCTATGTGGGCTCTCAGGTGGGCTATGTGGGCTCTCAGGTGGGCTATGCAGGCTCTCAGGTGGGCTATGTTGGCTCTCAGGTGGGCTATGTGGGCTCTCAGGTGGGCTATGCATGTTTTTAAGGGGGCTATGCGGGCTCTCAAGTGCCTAAGTGGGCTCTCAGGTGGGCTATGCGGGCTCTCAGGTTGCTATGTGGGCTCTCAGGTGGGCTATGGGGACTCCCAGGTGGGCTATGCGGGCTCTCAGGTGGCTGTGTGGGGTCTCAGGTGGGCTATGCGGGCTCTCAGGGGGACTATGCGGGCTCTCAGGTGGACTATGCGGGCTCTCAGGTGGGCTAGAATATAGAGGAGAGAGCGAGGAAAGGCAGCCAGGGAAGGGAGTAAGGAGACCGGCTATAGAGGTCTACAAATCCCAGCAATACCTTATACAGCAATACAAAATAATATGAAGCTACATACTATGTGTTGTTCCGGTGTGGCGCCCTGATGTCTCCAGGGTCTCAGGTGGCCTGTATGGAGTCTCACCAGGGCTGTGCAGGCTTTCAGGTGGACTATGCGGACTCCCAGGTGGGCTATGTGGGCTCTCAGGTGGGCTATGTGGGCTCTCAGGTGGGCTATGCAGGCTCTCAGGTGGGCTATGTTGGCTCTCAGGTGGGCTATGTGGGCTCTCAGGTGGGCTATGCATGTTTTTAAGGGGGCTATGCGGGCTCTCAAGTGCCTAAGTGGGCTCTCAGGTGGGCTATGCGGGCTCTCAGGTTGCTATGTGGGCTCTCAGGTGGGCTATGGGGACTCCCAGGTGGGCTATGCGGGCTCTCAGGTGGCTGTGTGGGGTTTCAGGTGGGCTATGCGGGCTCTCAGGTGGACTATGCGGGCTCTCAGGTGGACTATGCGGGCTCTCAGGTGGGCTATGTGGACTCTCAGGTGGGCTATGTGGACTCTCAGGTGGGCTGTGTGGGCTCTCAGGTGGCTGTGTGGGCTCTCAGGTGGGCAATGCGAGCTCTAAGGTGGGCTATGCGGGCTCTCAGGTGGGCTATGCAGACTCCCAGGTGGGCTATGCAGGCTCTCAGGTGACTGTGTGGGCTCTAAGGTGGGCTATGCATCGTTTGCTGTGTGTGCTGTGCGGTGTCTCACCAGGGGTCCGGAGGCGGGCAGCGTTGTGTCAGACAGAGGAGGAGATATGTGGGCCTGCCTGCCCCTGTTTACAGGCGCCTATGTGTCACAGGAAGATGAAGCTTCAGGCAGATGCGGCTGCCTGAGGTCCCGCAATTGCTGTGGACCTCGGCAGCCGCATCTGTCAAAAAATATAAAGTGTCGGCATCAGCACTTAGTGCCTTGTGTCCGGGTGGCAGCTGGCTGGAAACCCGGACACAAGATTTAAAAACCGGACCGTCCGGGTGAATCCTGGACAGGTGGCAACCCTACGCAGTGATCAGTCTGTAACATTGTAACAAGGTGAAGGGCATTTGTGAACACAGCCAAGAACTGTCCAGGCTCCAGGATTTGTGTCATCTCTGAGCCGCCATCTCAGTACAGGAAGTAGATGGTGACCCTGGATGATGCCTGAACAAAGATGGCACCGTCCTTGTGGAGAGGAAAGCAGATGGCAGCATTGTCAGGGGGAGTCATGTGACCTCTGTGAGAGGTAATAAATACCTGGAAGTGTTACACAGACACATGACTCAGCATCCATTTACTGAAGAATAAATGTTTCCGATGACAGGGCCACTTTATTGGTCACCATAAATGTTTCTTACATCGGGATCTGGTGACCAGTCACCATCATGAATAGAAACACAACAACCACAATGCTGTGCAGTCACCCAGAGCCGCGTGTGTCAATGTTACAGTGTGGAAGGGGTTAATGATGACGGACCCCACACTTCCTTTTTTTTTCTCTTTTTTAGTCTCGTTTGCGGCCAGTTTTAATCTCTGGCGGATATTGAGGTTAAAGGCAGAAAACTTTCCTAACTTCTGACCAATAAAAAGATCTTATAGGCAATACAGGGGTAATTGGAGGCCCCTCAGGCAGAGGAACATAGGGAATACCGGGGTAATAGGGGGCCCCACAGGCAGAGGCACATAGGGAATACAGGTGTAATTGAAGGCCCCACAGGCAGAGGCACATAGGGAATACAGGGGTAATTGGAGGTCCCACAGGCAGAGGCACATAGGGAATACCGGGGTAATAGGGGTCCCCACAGGCAGAGGCACATAGGGAATACAGGGGTAATTGGTGATCCCACAGGCAGAGGCACATAGGGAATACAGGGGCAGAAGGGGGACAAGGCCCCTCAGGCAGAGGAACATAGGGAATACCGGGGTAATAGGGGGCCCCACAGGCAGAGGCACATAGGGAATACAGGTGTAATTGAAGGCCCCACAGGCAGAGGCACATAGGGAATACAGGGGTAATTGGAGGTCCCACAGGCAGAGGCACATAGGGAATACCGGGGTAATAGGGGTCCCCACAGGCAGAGGCACATAGGGAATACAGGGGTAATTGGTGATCCCACAGGCAGAGGCACATAGGGAATACAGGGGTAATTGGGGGCCCCACAGGCAGAGGCACATAGGGAATACAGGGGTAATTGGTGATCCCACAGGCAGAGGCACATAGGGAATACAGGGGTAATTGGAGGCCCCACAGGCAGAGAAACATAGGCAATACAGGGGTAATTGGAGGTCCCACAGGCAGGGGCACATAGGGAATACAGGGGTAATTGGAGGCCCCACAGGCAGAGAAACATAGGCAATACAGGGGTAATTGGAGGTCCCACAGGCAGGGGCACATAGGGAATACAGGGGTAATTGAAGGTCCCACAGGCAGAGGCACATAGGGAATACAGGGGTAATTGGAGGCCCCACAGGCAGAGGAAAATAGGCAATACAGGGGTAATTGGAGGTCCCACAGGCAGGGGCACATAGGGAATACAGGGGTAATTGGAGGCCACACAGGCAGAGGCACATAGGCAATACAGGGGAAATAGGAGGCCCCACAGGCAGAGGCACATAGGGAATACAGGGGAAATAGGAGGCCCCACAGGCAGAGGCACATAGGGAATACAGGGGTAATTGGAGGCCACACAGGCAGAGGCACATAGGCAATACAGGGGTAATTGGAGGTCCCACAGGCAGAGGCACATAGGGAATACAGGGGAAATAGGAGGCCCCACAGGCAGAGGAACATAGGCAATACAGGGGTAATTGGAGGCCCCACAGGCAGAGGCACACAGGGAATACCGGGGTAATTGGAGGCCCCACAGGCAGAGGCACATAGGCAATACAGGGGTAATTGGGGGCCCCACAGGCAGGGGACCAGAGTGAGAACAATTCTGATCCAGATTGATATCAGTGATACAAACGTTTCTGCGGAAATGTGATCCGTCCTCGGATATTATTTTCCTGGTCAGATTATAAAGCTCATTGTGATCGTCAATAAGAGGAAATAATGAATGAGATCTTTTCTTTCTTCTGCCCATCCAGATCTGCGGAGGAGAGTTCAGCTGAATGTTACACAGGTGTGAGCCTCCATCATCATCCCCCATGTGAATATCATAGAGGTGTGAGCCTCCATCTTCATCCTCGTTCTGAATATTACACAGGTGTGATCCTCCATCATCACCCTCGGTCTGATAAATGCCTTCTCTATGGACCGCTCAGGTAATCCCACTGAACACTTCATTCATGTATTTATAATTAAAGCTGAAAAAGGGGAATGAGTATTTCTGTATTTTTGTCCGGCTTGGCCCAATGTAAGTATATAGTATATATTATACGTGGTCGGCCCACAGGGATCCTGTACAGCTCTGTAGTAGCCGGAGCCACTCTGCAGCCTTACAGCGATCTTCCGGGTCCTGGATTGCCGCTGTGCTGAGCGACTTCCCCTCTGCTCTGAAAACACAGGTCACTCGCTCGGCACAGCGGCCATTCAGTGTGATGTAACCGCCCCTCGTTTCATCATTGAATGCCTGGAATTCATTGATAAAAATACTAGGCGTTCGCTGAATGGCCACTGTGCTGAATGAGTGAGCCCGTGTCCCTACCAGATATACTGTAAACTATGTACAGTTTACTAACACTGGGCCAAGCTGGATCAATAGAAGTATACTTATTAAGGATGCACCGATACCGATACTAGTATCGGTATCGGTGCCAATACCGAGTATTTGGGTGTGTACTCGTAGTCGCCCAAATGCTCCGATATTCATCCCCATACTGGAACTTCCGGTCAGGGGGAGATTTCCTCTCTGTGACCTGCAGTGCAGCGAGGGAGCATGGCTTCCCAGCTTCCTGACCAAACAGCCGGCTCGATGCTAATTGGCTAGGAAGCCGGCTTCCCCGCCATTTGAGACGGCCAAACAGCATGGAGCCAGCTTCCCGGCCAATCAGCATGGAGCCGGTCAAACAGCATGGAGCCGGTCAAACAGCATGGAGCCGGTCAAACAGCATGGAGCCGGTCAAACAGCATGGAGCCAGCGTCTTCTGCTTAATGCCGCATTCTTACTATTGTGCAGCAGTAAATCGCGGTGAAGTGTTCTTGAATGGCACCCTGATCTATCTCCATAACGTACCACAACACACGTGCAGTTTGCCTCTGCCCCTAATGATCACTGACGACCCTGAATGATATTTCTTCTGCTTTGCAGCAACCGAGGCAGACATGGTCCATCAGAAGGTGCAAGCCATTCTCCGGGGCCTTGATGGCCAGCACGCAGCGCTGCATTCTGACCCAGGTAGGACGGAGGAGAGATGGCAGGTTTGTGGGAGAGGAAGGGGAAGGACTCCAACCGTCTCCATATCAGAGGCACGTGATGGGGGGGGGGTTTCAGTAATCATTAACCTTGAGTTGAAAAGTTTACCGATCGTGACTTTTAAATCCGATCTCCGGGCAGATGTAAGAGACACAAAGTGATGCAGCTCTGTGATCATTAATACATCACATTAAATGCAAGAACCTGAATGGGGCCTGGTATCAGCCGCTTGCAGTCCCTGTACAGCAGAGATCAGAGTGTGGAAGAACCGGTACAAGGAGTATGCCGATAGGAGGAGAGCAGAGTGACAGAGACATGAGATCATCACTGTGCTGCTTCTCCTTTCACTGTCTAGTCGCTGGTTGGGGGCTCGTCCGGGATGACATGGGCTTAGAGGAAGTGGGTCAAATGATGCTGGTCATCAGAGTTTTAATTAGCTATTTATTTTTATCATATTATTTTGTTAGCTGGAGCTCTGCTTTAGCATTTCCATTGGTTTATTTGGTCATATTTATTTTATTGGTCATATTTCACGTACGAATGTATGGGTTTTCTTGAGGGCCTTACCATCTTGCTGAACAACATAAATAAAGGTTCTGCCTCACATGACCTTAATGGTTGTTCTGTTCCCCTGGACTCACAAGCCCTACAGTAAATCCATAGCTTGTACTGATGAGGGCTAAAAAGCCTTAAACATTTGTATGTAAACTGGTAACACTGGCTCTGTAGAATTACGGTTGTAATGCAATGCCTCATGGGACTTTTAGTTTCACCACAACTGGAGTGCCCAGGTTGCCTACACCTGATATATACCTATAGGGCAGGGGTAGGCAACCTGAGCAACTGTTATGGAACTACAAGTCCAATGAGGGCACTGCAAAAACTATGAAAGGCACAGGCATGACGCTTAGAGGCAGATGCATTATGGGATTTGTAGTTTCAGCACAGCTGGAGTGCCAAAGTTGCCTACCCCTGCTATAGGGGCATCAGATGGGAAATACTGAAAGTAAAAAAAACAAAGGAAAGGGATGTGTTTTCTAATTAATTACTGTTATTCGCTCTATCGCAGGAATGATGAGATGGACCCTGCACAAGAGTTTGGACCGGAACCCCTACAGCGGGAATATAATGGTTGGGGTCCTCATTAAGGAGTTGGAGAAGGTAGGACCTTGGCAACGGGACATTTATATACACCAGTATTTATGTCACAGAGGATGATAATAACATGTTTTAGGGTTAAAAAATGTTTTTAAAAAAGGTAACAATGGTTAAAAAGGGACAGAACCCGAGGGACTGCTGGGTCTCCTATTGCCATCACCCAACGGCATTTCCATTGTTAGTGGAGGGGGGAAGGGATAGAACTACTGGCAATGTTTTATTTGGTGGCCATGGCATTCAGCTGCTTCTTCCCCCCATTACTTGTACAGGTGTCACAGGGACAGGAAGTAAGGAAAAATCAAATTTTCATCACACACAGACGCATACACAAAAAAGTATTCATTTTGGGTTTTTTGGAGGGGTATTGTCGGGGGGAAGAGTGTATTTACAGTAGTTTCATTAATTTCATGTTCTTGATATTTTTCCTTTCTTGTGTTCCTTTTTTTTGTGTGTATAGGGGCCTATTTATAGATGTTTTTGCACAAATTGTTTTACAACTTTTACCCAGGATTCACACTTTTTTTTCCCCCCTCAATTGAATACAATTAGAAAAATGTGTGAATGTCAGGTGAAAATATTTTTAAACAGACCTATGTACAGTTGTTTCATGTAATTATATTTTTTTAAATGTAATAATAATAATATTTTATGTTCTATAATAATATAT